GGCAACGTATTTGATCTCTTGGCAAACCTTTCGTAAGCGGATCCGAAACATTCTCCTTTGATTTCACATAATTTATGGAGATGACGCCCATTGAGATCAATTGCTTAATGGTATTATATCTCCGATGTATATGTCTAGACTTACCATTATACATGCTGCTTTTAGCCCTTTCAATAGCCGATTGATTATCGCAGTGTATGCTTATGGCAGGTACCGGCTTAGGCTAACATGGAACATTTTCTAAGAAATTTCAAAGCCATTCTGCTTCTTCACCAGCTTTGTCCAAAGCAATAAACTCTGATTTCATAGTTGATCAAGCTATACACGTTTGCTTTGAAAAATTTCATGAGATAACAGTTTCACCAAGTGTAAACACATAGTCACTTGTGGATTTGGAATCCTTCATATCGATATCCAACTCGCGTCACAATATCCTTCTAATACCGCAGGATATTTTCTGAAATGTAATCCATAGGTCATAGTATACTTTAAGTACCTAAGGACCCTTATCAATGCTACCCAATGATCATGGCTTGGATTACTCATGAATCTACAAAGTTTATTCACTACAAACGCAATGCTTGGTCGAATGCAGTTTGTAACATACATTAGACTGCCAATTATTTGTGAATATCTTAGTTGTAACACGCTTTCACCCTTATTTTTGACCAAGTGTAGACTTGTGTCAATAAGAGTCTTTGTAGAACTTTCCTCAAATACTTCAAACTTCTTAAATATTTTCTCAATGTAATGAGATTGGGAAAGTACGATTCCTTCCGATGTTCTAGAGATCTTTATCCCTAGTATTACATCTGTCACACCTATGTCTTTCATGTCAAAATGCCTTGTTAACATTTTCTTAGTGTTTGTCAATATTTCATGACTATTGCCCATTATCAACATATCGTCTACATATAGACATACTATCACGTAGGCATTCGGTGTATTCTTCACATATATACACTTGTCACATTCATTTATTTTAAATCCATTTGACAACATTATTTTGTCAAACTTTTGGTGCCATTGCTTAGGAGCTTGTTTTAAGCCATACAAGGACTTAACAAGTTTACATACTTTATGACTTTCATTTGGAGACATGAACCCTTCATGTTGTTTTATATATATCTCCTCTTCTAACTCACTGTTTAGGAATGTCATTTTTACATCCATTTGATGAATCTCAAGATTATGTATTGCCGCAATTGCAATTAGCAACTTTATCGAGGTGATTCTCGTTACAGGTGAGTAGGTATCAAAGAAATCAAGTCCTTCTTTTTGCCTATAACATTTGGCAATCAATATAGCCTTATATTTGTCAATGGATCCATCCGGTTTCAATTCTTTTTTTAATATCCATTTACACTCTAAAGGCTTATTCCCGGGAGGTAAATCTACCAATTCCTAAGTATGATTTTGCATTATGGAATCTATATCGCTATTGATAGCTTCCTTCCAATGCGATGCTTTCGGGGTAGACATCGCTTCCTCGTAAGTACTTGGATCATTTTCTACCATATAAGTTAGAAAATCCAGACCAAATGATGTGGATGTTCTAGCCCTCTTACTGCGTCTTGGTTCTTCCTCATTTGAAGATCCATTTGTAGATTCATAAGTTCTCTTATTTGAACTTGACGTTTCCCTATTTTTGTAAGGAAATATGTTTTCAAAGAATACTGCATTCCTTGATTCAATTATGGTACCCTCATGTACATCTTGAATATCGAATTTGTGTACTAGGAAACGATATGCACTACTAATATTCGCGTATCCAATAAATATGCAATCGATCGTTTTGAGACCAATTTTAATTTGTTTAGGCTTGGGTGCTTCAACCTTTGCTAAACACTCTTACACTTTTAAGTGTTGGTAGGAAGGAGAATAACCTTTCCATAACTCCTATGGTGTCTCTTCCATTTTCTTAAGCGGTATCCGATTGAGAATACTATTTGCTGTTAAGATAGCCTCCCCCCACAACTTCTGAGGTAAACCCAAACTTATTAACATCGCATTCATCATCTCTTTAAGAGTTTGATTTTTACGTTCAGCAATTCCATTCGATTGAGGAGAGTATGGAGCCGTCGTTTGATGATATAATTCCATGTTCGGAACATAATTCTTCAAACGGTGCCCCATATTCACCTCCTTGATCAATATGAATATTTTTAATTTGTTTGTCAAGTTGCGTTTCAACTTCAGCCTTATATTGTTTAAATACATTTAAGGCTTCGTCTTTGCTTCTTAAAAGAAAGACATAACAATACTTTGTACAATCATCGATAAAAGTTACAAAGTATTTTTTACCGCCTCTAGTTTGAACGAATTTCAAATCACATATATCACTATGGATTAATTTTAGAGGTATTGTGTTTCTTTGAATTGAATGAAACAGTGTTTTAGCCAATTTTGCTTCAACACATATTTTGCATTTGTGATTAGGATCAATTTCAAGCGCCGGAATTAAACTTTGATTCATAAGTTTGCGCAACGAATTATAATTCGCATGTCCTAATCGATTATGCCATAAACAAGACTCAAGCAAGTAAACAGAATTTGTTACTTTATTCATAATGCCTTATTTCGGCACAACAGTTAGAACGTTCATCTTGAACATTCCGTTACACATGTATTTTTTTCTACGTACATCTCATTCTTAGACAACACAAATTTATCGAATACAAATACAAGTTTGAAACCATTTTTACTAAGAAGAGATTTGGACACAAGATTCTTTCGAAGATCTGGCACATGTAGGACGTTGTTAAGAACTAGCTCTTTTCCAGATGTCATCTTTAAAGTGACTTTACCTTGTCCTTCAATCTTGGAACTTGCAGCGTTCCCCATGAATAGTTGTTCCCCTTTCAATTCTTGATAGTTGAAGAACATTGCCTTATCTACACACACATGATGAGTTGCACCGATATCTACCCACCATTCCCTTGTGTTTCCAACCATGTTGCATTCGGACATAACTGCAGATAGACTCATTTCCTGCATTCCTTCGGAAAGGTTGTCTTTCTAAATCATGTTGGCTTGAGCAGGTTTCCTAAGCTTTCGACATTCATTTGAACGATGTCTGACCTTTCCACAATTATAGCATTTCCCTTTGAACTTTTTCGCCTTCTTAGAGTTATCTCTACGCAATGCATCGTTTGAGATCTTTCGTTTCTTGTTCAAAGGCCTTTGTTCTGTTTCAACAAAGTTTGCTCCAAGTTAGTCAATGGGTTTCCTTTCATTTTTCCTATTGTCTTTTTCAATTCTCAAGCGAACGATCAATTCTTCCAAATTCATCTTCTTACGTTTGTGCTTGAGATAGTTCTTGAAATCTCTCCACATAGGAGGGAGTTTGTCGATGATGGCAGTCACTTGAAAGGATTCACTTAGTTCCATCTTTTCGATATGTATGTAGTGCAAGAGAACTTGAATTTCTTGCACTTGACTTATCACAGTTTTGGTATCTACCATTTTGTAGTCCAAAAATTTGCCCACAATGAACTTCTTGGTTCCGGTATCCTCGGTCTTGTATTTATTTTTCAAAGAATCCCACAATTCCTTGGCCGAGTTTTTAGAACTAGACACCCCATATAGTGTATTGTCCAACTCATTCAAAATGTAGTTTTTACATAGAAAGTCCGAATGCTTCCATGCATCCAACGCAATAATCGACTCACGATTATTTTCTCCCTCTTGTACGGATGGCGCGGTCTCTTTTAAGAACTTTACCAAATTGAGGGTAGTGAGATAGAATAACATCTTTTGTTGCCATCTATTAAAATTCAAGCCACTAAATTTTCCGATTTTTCACCATGCGGGATTGAAGTGTTTATAGTCATAGGCGTAACCATGTTTGTACCATTTTGACTTGAAGCTTCTACAGTACTCATTTCTGTTACAAAAACAAAAGATTATCACAATGCAAAGTAAGGAAAAGGAACAATGGACAAAAACTATTCCAAAATGAAGAACAAAGTATGGGTTAAATTAAAACAAAACCAAAACAACCGTCGACAAATATTGTCTTAAATTGTTGGTTCCGGGGTTTATGTGAGCAGTATGATGGTTGTTGATATTTGTATCAAAACAAATTCATGTTTAACCCGTAGGAGCGTGATCAAACTATCGATATGTGAACTTGAAAGTGTAGTACAAAACCACAAAATCAAGGTATCAAAATGAAACAAGAAAATGAGAAGAAAAAGAAATGAAACCCGAGGCAAGTGATGGCACTCTCTCCTTAAGACAATATTGTCCCGCTATGGTGCTCACGGTTGACGGCACTTGTCTCCCAAGATACAACGGATGTTTAATCTAGTGGTAGCAACACTTCACACCACAAGAACCGGTGAACCGACAGAATTTCCCCCTCTATAAAGGGATTTTATGCAAGAAAAAGAGAGATAGATTTTGTAAGAAAAGAAGAGTGCTCAATGCAAAATATGAGTTGGTGTTCCCTTAGGGACATCCAAGGGGTCCTATTTATAGAGGAGGAAGGGGTGTGGATAAAGTGGTGTGGGCCAAACCATGCAATCTTTCGAATAGTTGCAACATTCCATCTTCGCTAGCTTTTCGCTCGAGCAGCGCTTCAAAAATTCGAGCAGAACATACTTCGCTCGCTTTTCGCTTGAATTTCGCTCGAACGAGCGAGACCGTCGCTTGAGCGAACATCGAGCAACAGTGTATTTTAGCCCTTTTCCACCGTATTTTCCTCCAATCTTTGGAGCGTAATTTCTCATTCACCCGAAATTGGTTTCTAATGTCCAAATATACTACGATCATCTACTCGATGAGTAGAACAAGTTGGCCTTTTTACTTTTGTAATTTGACCATCGGATCAAGTCCGAATATTCGGCCGAACTTGACACGTTAATCACACTTTTCGATTTCAATTTTTACTTAACCAATTTCCGATCTTTCATGTTAATTTGGAAATCAATTTCCAACATAAATTTACAAAAATGTTAAGCTATATGGACCCTATATATTCTTTTCATAAGCAAAGATTATAATACACATGTATTCTGTAAAGATTAAAAGAATGGAAGAAACAAAGACCATCCAAATTTACATACAGAAAGAAAAAACTCTCGACTGTGATCCCTGTTCAAATCCATCCAATGGTAAGTGATGACAAGTATGTTAATAAAGGATGCCCTGCATAGGCATTCCTTCCTTCTTTCTTCATTCTCAACTGCATTTCCAAATTTGTCTCTCTCAAAGCATTTTGACTACGAGCAGCAATTACTGTTATGCTGCTCGTGACAAACTTGTTTCTGTTTCAAAATTTGGTTCTTCACAGGCGTAGACCCTTTCTCCAGTAGACTAGGTGTTTCCAGGATCTGAAATGGAACAGAGTACATCATTGACATAATAAGCAACAAAAAGAGTGAAATTTAAGGGATTCAGTTTCTCCTTATAAGAGCAATAATAAACAAAATGACATCGAAAATGAGCAAAACAAACGCACAAATTCATAGCAGTTCACTCAATGTGGAAAGCTACATCGACTATCCCCTTCGGATTTTCACTATATTGGAGAAGATAAGTACAAGGTGTTTCTCGTCATCTCGTGCCTCTCACACGCTCAAAACCTGCCCCTAAAATCCTTAAAGTGGCCTTGCTGCGACAGTTGATTCTCGATCAAGGGAATAAGTGTACACTATGATTAGGTTCACACAGTATAGAGTATGATAAATCTGTTAGTTTTTGAAGCATTAAGGCATTTTATCATATCAAATACAAAGGTAGGGCCTGAAACCTATCAATGCATGCTTCACACCTGCATACTGATGCGAGATTCTCGTCCTTGTGATGAGACGTGAATGCAGAAAGATCCATTTCTAAGAAATAATTGCCTTTTCATATTATAATCTACCTGTTTCTGCATATTTCTTACATTTGAGACATCATTTAGAAAGATAAAGAATAATCAAACGTTCCTTTCAGTTAGAGGGAAAACGAAGAAAATGGCTTATGAAGTTGCACCACGTGTTTCTTCTCTAGTATAATTGTTCCCCTTCATTCTCCTCGTAATTGTTGTTTTAGAACAACACAAACCCTTTATTAAAGACCACTTTGTACTTCATGCTTCATGGATAAACCCAAAAACAACAAAACATGTACAACTAACTTGCGAAATTAAGTCCAAAATTACATATTCTATTTTTTATCTAATGTTAATATTGAGATATATCGTCAGGGTTTGCCTTTTCAGGTATACCTTCATTGTTAGCTCTTTAAATAGTTGCTGCACATTTTCTCTAGTCCTAGCACTGCATTCAAGAAATAAACACTTGTGCTTCTGAGCAAGAGCCATTCCTTCCTCCACAGTAACTGCCCTCTCACTATCCTGAAATGAGAATAATAAATTTTCTTTAAAGGTTGTTGAAACTGGAAAAAAAAAAATTATCAAACTTGCACAGTAAGATAGCCACAACAACTCACCTTATCAACCTTATTTCCAACAAGTATCTTGACACAATCAGGGTTCGTCGAGTAAAGCTCTAGTTCCTTGGCCCATATCTTCAATAAATTCGTAAACGTCTCTCGTCTTGTTACATCATAAACTGTAATAAGCAATGAAATAGTCCAGTAGTTACTTCCATGATGAGTGTAAAGACCAACATAATACATCATACTCAGTAAACCCACCAACGGAAAATGCAAGAAGTGGGAAAACCTTCTACCATATTGATTCAAAAATGTATAGTTTCAAAGAAAACTAACTTGATTGGGGAAATATTAGAAGAGATGCAACTAACAAGCAAAGGCGAAACTAAAACTAAATCTTGGAGTAGGCTAAAATTCAGAGCTCGGGTGGACAGGGACTTTGGAGTGGGCTAAATCTTTTTAAAGGAAAATGAGTGGCCTAAACTTTAGGCTGGATAGTAGACCAATTCTGAAACAAGAGGGTCCGCCTCTGCTAAGAAGAAACAGCCATTAATAGAATTATAATTCTGATAAAAGTTAATGCTTCGGGTGGTTTTCCCCAGATAATACACCTAAAATATGGAACTCAACTAAAGCAAACTTCAAAATATCACCTGTGACACTAATTATGTCGAGTAATGCATTATGTCGTTACAGTCATACCGAGAATGATTCCATGAGTGCCTCTGTAGTATGAACTCATCAGTGTTCCAAACCTTTCCTGCCCCGCTGCATTGTAACATAAACTCTGATAAATAGGTAACTTTTTGGCAGCATGGAAATGGAATTAGACTTGGAAATGATTCCATCATATTTGAATTGAATAGCAATTCCATGCTTCCAACTCCACCTTACGAGCAAAATTTTTAGAGCATTCTATTTTCAGTGCAAACAAATAATTTCACTTATATTCATTTCGAGATTTGCTTCATTACCTGTATCCCAAATTGTTAGCTTTAATCTTTTTCCACCAGTTGTTAGCAGCTTTATCTTGAAGTCCACTCCTGAACATAAGGATCAAAGTGTGCAGAACTAATCAAAAGGTACATCAGGCATGCAGTATTACACATGATTCAACTGTACAATAAACAATTTTGGCATATTTTTTCTTGCTTGGATTGTTCAGAATATACCAGCCATCAAATGGTAGAAGGAGTAAATTACAATAAAACAAATAAATAGTAAAAGAAAAGCAAATCAGCTTAAAAGAAGCATGTTTAGCTTAGCTTAAAAGTTCAAAAGAAGCTGAAAATGACTTCTTTGACAGAAAGCCTTAAAAGCTTAGCCAAACCTGCTCTAGAAATCCCAACAAGAACTTTTCATTGTCTTTTCCAGCTTCAATTGCCTTTATGCAATTGGAACTCCTATCAAAGGGACAAGAAGACAGTCCAAACACACAAGCACACATAAAACTCAAGTGATTGATGAGAGAGAGAGTGTGTACCAATTGTGGGAGAGAGATTCTGCGGAAACTGTTGACAATTTGAAATGAAACTAAGAAGAAGACTACTTTTTCCAACACCCGAATCACCAATCAATAATATCTTCAAAGAGTAATCATAATTAATAGTACTACAACAATTCTTACTTGAACCCATAATCCTTCACTGCACCATAAACTTTAAAACTTCGTTAAAAACAAGAGAAATGAAAAATCCACAAAATTTAACAGATTTTCTCCGGATTTTGTTAGGTGGGATTTGGAAAAAACTTAGACCATAATAATAATGCCAGGGACGTGGCGCTAAATTAGATTGTGTTAAATGATAGGTTGAACAAAAGGTGTAATCAAGTCCGTTTGGTTCGAAAATAAGTGAAATAATATTTTCTTGAATAATTAGTGGTTGAAAAAGAAGAATTTTTTTTTGATTTACGTGTAATATTATTTTATGAAAGATTGTATGATTAAAAGTAAGATAGAAAAAAATAGAATGAAATGTAATATAATGTAATGACATGAAATTTAATGAGCACCGAAGGGGAGTATTTATTTAATTAATGTCAAATAAATCTCATTTACAGCTTGTTTGAGAGTGTTTTTTGGCCTAAAAAATTGATTTTTTGATCGTTATTTCACTATTTCAGTCGTCATATTTTTTTGATCGGTATTTCACGAGTGGACCCTACTTTTTTCTAACAGTCAAAAAATCAATTTTCAAAATCACTCACAAACAAGCTCTTAGACTGGGTTCTGGGATGAGGAAATTTCATTATGTGTCAAAATTTGGCTATGCATTATCAAAAATGTCACCTTTCAAATTTTCTATCAAAAATGTCAATTTAGGACATTTTTGACCTTATGAATTATTTGAATACCTTATATATCCTTGTTCAAAACTTGTGTATTGTGTCAGAATGAAATGACAATATGTCGGAATGAAATGACAATATAGCTTTTAAATCGCTTACCATTGAACTGTCGTTCCCGACAGTTAGTATCAGTAATTTTCGACAGATGGACTCATCGACAGATCAAATGAAGTTTTAGACAGATGAACTATCGGGAACAACAATTCCTTTGTTTACCTAAGCTCAGTTCCACAGTTTGAACTTTGGTTCTAACATTGCACGTGTGTTTCGCATTAACATGTATGAAATGCTATGATCTCATAATTTGTTGATTGATTCGTAATTGTTTATGCTTGATTGATTGATTCATTTTTTGTGTTCCAGTTTCAGTGGTTTGTTTTGTATTTTTTGTTCATTGTGCTTGATTGATGAATTCATTTTCGCCTTGAAATATCATTTTGGCTGCCCACATGAAGTGGTCGGAGATCCATGTGCACGAGGAAAATTATGACAAATTGCGTTCATCAATTGACTTCCATGATAACTTTGATCATATTGATGTTATTATTACTTATTTATCTATAATGTATGGCTACTTTTCACATTACTGGGGTCACAAGAGAAACAATGAATTTATATGAGATACGCGATGATTGATCATCGTTCAACATTGTTGGATGAAGTCGGAATATTTGTTAATGCGTAGTCTTATTCTTCATAGTTCTATGTTCGACAAATTAATCACCAACACATGCTTGGGTTTGGTAAGGCTGCTACCACTGTGTAGTATGATTCAAATGCAGATGAAAGCCGATTTGGTAAGGTTGCTACCATTTAACATTTGCATAAATCTTTTTGGTATTTTTTTCCCTTCAAAAATATTTCCAAAATGAGAAACATCATGATTAATAGTAGTTTCAAAAGTATTTTTCACTTTGATGATCATCTTGTTTTTATCATTTAAAAAAGAGTAAATTATTCGATAAAAATAAAAAATAATTCGTAATAATTAATCTCTCAAAATGGATGATGAATCTAATATATATATATATATATATATATATGCAATGATTATAATATATAAATTTAACTAATCAAATCATAACATTAATTGTTAACTAATCAAATCATAACATTAATTGAATTGGAACATAGCATTAAATGCTCCTAAAAGGGGACATGACCAGTTGGACATTTTTGACAAAAAAAAGTGACATTTTTTATAAAATTAGGTACATATGCAAATTTTTTATACATTTTTCAAAAAAGTGACATTTTTTATAGAGAAAATTGCACAGGATGTCAATTTTTTTCAAGATATTTACAAAAATGTCACTTTTTTTTTTAAACATTGCAAGAATGTCAATTTAAGACATATTTGCCCCTGAAAATAATTTCAAATTCCATACATGTCCTAACTAAATGAGATTTGACACAATGGAAGAAATTGTACAAAAATCTTGTCAATGTCATAGATGAATTTTATTTCTCTCATTCAAACAACTCTAACTATCTCACTCACTCACTCACTCACTCTCTCCCTCTCTCTCTCTCATTTCTCTCATTATGGGTTTCAATCTAAGAGAGAAAAATCTTGTTTTTTTTTACTCAATTTTTGTGATATTTTTATCTGTAAGGGGTTTATGAGATGCGAAAAATGGAG